AGTTGCAAGCCTCATTCCTTTTGTTCAGCTGCCCTAGTGACTCCGTGTGTGAAGAGTATGGTCTGAGCTGTTCGGATGCTCTGCATAATTTTTTTAGTAAGTATTGCTGGCAAGAGAACTACAAATGAACATTTTATCCTGAGAGGTTTTTTTTTTTTTTTTAAAGATAGTGATTTAGGGCTAATAGTTTCATGGATTTTTTTTTTTCTTTTTTTTAGAGACGGAGTCTCACTCTGTTGCCCAGGCTGGAGTGCGATGGCGCGTCTTGGCTCCACTGCAACCTCTGCCCTCCTGAGTTTCAGCATTTCTCCCGCCTCAGCCTCCTGAGTAGCTGGGACTACAGCGTGCCACCACCCGCCCTGGCTAATTTTGTATTTTCAGTAGAGACGAGGTTTCACCATGTTGACCAGGCTGGTTTTTGAGATGGAGTCTCGCTCTGTTGCCTAGGCTGGAGGTCAGTGCCGTGATCTTGGCTCACTGCAACCTCTGCCTCCCGGGTTCAAGCGATACTCCTGGCTCAGCCTCCTGAGAAGCTGGGGCTACCAGGCCTGGCTGATTTTTTGTATTTTTAGTGGAGACGGGGTTTTACCTTGTTGCGCAGGCTGGTCTTGAACTCCTGACCTCAGGTGATCTGCCCCCCTTGGCCTCTCAAGGCTCTGGGATTTCAGGCATGAGCCACCGCACCGAGCCTAAGATCTGTATTTCTTTTTGTTTGTTTTTTTGCGTTTAGATCTATATTTCTTATTCTTCCTCCACTTGCTTTTGGCCTGTGCCTGAGATTGTAAACACGGAGCTTCGTGTCTTCGTGTGAAGGTGGTGTTCCTCCGGAAACGCCGGTGTCCCCGGGGTGGGTCTCATGTGAAGCAAGCGCTTTACTAAGACGTGAGATACAAGCTTCCTAACCGGGAGATTGTGAAAGGGTAGGGAATGTGGGCAGAATCCTGAGCACAAGTGGTTAGACTTCATTGACAAACCAGGGGCGGCAGTACGGAGGTTCTGAGAATGCATTTGAAGCGAGACCCACTCCTCTTACGGAGGATTTATCAGAAAGGATAAGGAGAGCTGCAACACGTAAGTGTTGGACCCACTGCATCGCCTGTGGTGCATTGCTTGACTGTAGGAGCTTCAGAGCATTCCAGAAGGTCTGGTTCTTTGATGACTCATCAAGATTTGGAGCACAGATACCCATGCACTGCAATAGTGATACTTATCAGCACGTCACCTGGGGTTTTGTTTTCATTTCACTTTAAGAATGTGCCATGTTGGCCGGGCGTGGTGGCTCATGCCTGTAATCCCAGCACTTTGGGAGGCCGAGGCGGGCGGATCACAAGGTCACAAGTTCAAAACCAGCCTGACCAACATGGTGAAACACCATCTCTACTAAAAATACAAAAAAAGTCAGCCAGGCGTGGTGGTGCATGCCTGTAATCGCAGCTACTGGGGAGGCTGAGGCAGGAGAATCGCTTGAACCTGGGAGATGGAGGTTGCAGTGAGCCGAGATCGTGCCATTGCACTCCAGCCTGGGCAATAAGAGTGAAACTCCATCTCAAAAAAAAAAAAAAAAGAATTTGCCATGTGATCGTATTTCTAATCCTTTTCACTCTGGAATCCTGTCCTCACCATATTAATGTTGAATAGCATCTCAGGTTTCATTTCACAATGCGCGCATGGAGTTGGAAGGAGTTCAACAGACAGACAGTTTTTCTTTATCAACCGGCGGCCTTGTGACCCAGCAAAGGTATTTACAATTTTTTTTGTATTAGTTTATTCTTTATGCCTTTGACTTTTAATGGATAACTTTTTTTCTGATAATAGGCAGTTTACATGGAACTCGGGACTTTGAGAAACATGGCTTTAACATTAACTAATTTTGGGCATTTACAGAATTCTACTGCAGATGGCCCCCAACTTAAGATGTTTCAACTAAAAAAAAAAAAAAGATGTTTTAACTGAAGATTTTTCTGGCCGGGAACAGTGGCTCATGCCTGTAATCCCAGCTCTTTGGAAGGCCAAGGCGGGTGGATTGCTTGAGGCCAGGAGTTCGAGACCAGCCTGGCCAACATGACAAAACCCCGTCTCTACTAAAATACAAAAGATAGCCAGGCCTGGTGCCGCATGCCTGTAATCTTAGCTACATGGGAGGCTGAGGCAGGAGGATCGCTTGAACATGGGAGATGGAGGTTGCAGTGAGCCGAGATTGTGCCACTGCACTGCAGCCTGGGTGACAGAGTGAGACTGTGTCTCAAAAAAAAATTCTTTTTCTTTTTTTTTTGAGGTGGAGTCTCACTCTGTCACTCTGGTGCGATCTTGGCTCACTGCAAGCTCCGCCTCCCGGGTTCACGCCATTCCCCTGCCTCAGTCTCCTGAGTAGCTGGGACCACAGGCGCCCACCACCTCGCCTGGCTAATTTTTCGTATTTTTAGTAGAGACGGAGTTTCACCATGTTAGCCAAGAAGGTCTCGATTTCCTGACCTTGTGATCCGCCCGCCTCGGCCTCCAAAAGTGCTGGGATTACAGGCATGAGCCACCGCGCCTAGCCAAAAAAAAAAATATTTTTCTACTACTTTACCTTGTTGCAGAAGTTATTTTTGCAGTAGATACCATCCTTCAAGTACCTATGGAACCATTGTTTTTCGGTATAGTATTCAATAAATTACAGAAGATACTCAACATTTTATTATAAAATAGATATTGTGTTATTTTGCCTATAGACTAATGTAAGTATTCTGAGGCAAGGCTGAGATAGGACATTCAGTAGGTTAGGTTATCACAAAGGCATTTTTGACATACAATATTTTCAACTTATGGGTTTATCAGGACATAACCCTATCATAAGTCAAGGAGCGTATCTATCTGTGTACAGTTTTTTTTTTTGTTTGTTTTGTTTTTTTTTTTTTTTGAGACTGAGTCTGGCTCTGTCGCCCAGGCTGGAGTGCGGTGGCCGGATCTCAGCTCACTGCAAGCTCCGCCTCCCGGGTTTACGCCATTCTCCTGCCTCAGCCTCCCGAGTAGCTGGGACCACAGGCGCCCGCCACTTCGCCCGGCTAGTTTTTTGTATTTTTTAGTAGAGACGGGGTTTCACCGTGTTAGCCAGGATGGTCTCGATCTCCTGACCTCGTGATCCACCCGTCTCGGCCTCCCAAAGTGCTGGGATTACAGGCTTGAGCCACCGCGCCCGGCCCTGTGTACAGTTTTTTTGTTGTTGTTTTTTGGGGTTTTTTTGAGGCAGAGTCTCGCCCTGTTGCCCAGGCTGGAGTGCAGTTGTGCAATCTTGGCTCACTGCAACCTCCACCTCCTGGGTTCAAGCGATTCTGCTGCCTCAGACTCCCAAGTAGCTGGGATTACAGGCCTGCGCCACCACGCCTGGCTAATTTTTTTGTATCTTTAGTAGAGACAGAATTTCACCATGTGGCCGGGATGGTCTTGAACTCCTGACCTCATGATCCACCCGCCTTGGTCCCCCAAAGTGCTGGGATTACAGGCATGAGCCACCACGCCTGGCCTCTGTGTATAGTTGTTTAAATTGCATATACGTGAGTGTGTTTGTATGTGTATATATACATTATATATGTTGTGTGTACATATACATAAATATATAAACACATATTAATTACCAGTATATTTATTATTGTAAAAACTAAAACTATTTGAAGAAACTAAACATTTTATAACATTCTGTGTCACCTTTCAGTATAAACTGATTACATGGTTTCTATATTTTCTACAGATTTCTATATTTTCTCTTCCTTCTTTCTATTTTCCTAGGAAAATAAGGGTTCAGATTGCTTCTGCCTCAAATTTAAACAGATCATCTTGATATGATTACAGCACAACATTGTACCTCAGTAATATTTTTTGTTTCTCTTTTTCTCTTTTTATTTTTTTTGAGATGGAGTCTCGCTCTGTTGCCCAGGCCAGAGTGCAGTGACGTGATCTCGGCTCACTGCACCCTCCACCTCCCAGGTTCAAGCAATTCTCCTGCCTCAGCCTCCCGAGTAGCTGGGATTACAGGCGCATGCTGCCATGCCCGGCTAATTTTTTGTATTTGAGTAAAGACGGGGTTTCGCTGTGTTGCCTGGGCTGGTCGAGAACTCCTGAGCTCAGGCAGTCCACCTGCCTTGGCCTCCCAAAGTGCTGGGATTATAGGCGTGAGCCACCACTCCCGGTACCTGTATTTCAGTGATGCTTTAGAGTTCGCTTGTAATCTGCCAGATGTGGTTGATCTTCTAAATTTTTTAACCTATAGTGTGATGGATTCATAATTATTAATTGTAACTATTAATAATTAATGTGATATTTTGGTTTATTTCTAATGACATTTTAATGCCATAAATACGTTTCTATGTACGTTGAATGTGTTTTATGAATATTTCAGCTGTGCCCGCATTTCACTAGAATTTCTCGTAGAGTAACTTTAGGTTGGAAAAACTCAGTTTTAGGGATCTATGATTAGTGAAATATCACTTCATGAGTTGTGAGGAAATTTTTGGTGATGGATATATTCATTATCTTGATTGTGGGGATAGTTTCACAGGTGTTTGTGTATATGTCAAAATTTGTGAAATTGCACACTTTAAATATGTATAGTTTATTCCATGTTAGTCATATCTCAGTAAAGCTGTTAAAAGATGTATTCTTAGGCAGGTGTAGTGGCTCACGCCTATAATCCTAGCACTTTGGGAGGCCGAGGCAGGCAGATCAACTGAGGTCAGGAGTTCGAGACCAGCCTGGCCAACGTGGTGAAACCCCGTCTCTACTAAAAACACAAAAATTATCTGGTTGTGGTGGCGTGTGCCTGTAATCCCAGCTACTCTGGAGGCTGAGGCAGGATAATCACTTGAGCCCTGGAGGTGAAGGTTGCAGTGAGCCAAGATCGCGCCATTACACTCCAGTCTGGGTAACAAGAGTGAGACCCCATCTCAGAAAAAAAAAAAAAAAAGAAAAAAGAAATCCTGCCTGTAGTCCAAGCTACATGGCAGGCTGAGGCAGGAAGACGACTTGAGCCTGGGAGGTTGAGGCTGCAGTGAGCCACGATTGTGCCACTGCACTCCAGCCTGTGACAAGGCGAGACCTTGTCTCATTAAAACAAAAAAAATTCCCTTCTAAGAACATGCTGGTTGGTTAGAATAGTGTGTTGTTAGAATGTGGGGGGGCCGGGAACATTTGTCGTATATTCTTTTCTCCTCCTTGTATTTTGTGCAGGTCTCCAGACTTGTGAACGAGGTCTACCACATGTATAATCGACATCAGTATCCATTTGTTGTTCTTAACATTTCTGTTGATTCAGGTAAGTTCCATTGGCATTTCAGTAGAACTAGTGACTAATGCCTCAAAGAATACAATGAAATTATATAGCTCTGTTCTGACCGGAATGAGATAACAATTTATAGTCATGTAAGTTTTTGGTTTTCTTTTTTTTTCTTTTTTGAGACGGGGTCTTGATCTGTCACCCAGGCTGGAGTGCAGTGGCACAGTCTCGGCTCACTGCAAGCTCTGCCTCCCGGGTTCAAGCGATTCTCCTGCATCAGCCCCCCAAGTAGCTGGGACTACAGGTGTGTGTCACCACACCTGGTTAATTTTTTGTATTTTTAGTAGAGATGGGGTTTCATCGTGTTAGCCAGGATGGTCTCGATTTCCTGACCTCGTGATCTGCCTGTCTTGGCTTCCCAAAGTGCTGGGATTATAGGCATGAGCCACCATTCCTGACCCTGTAATTTTGTTTTTCTTAAACAGAGTTCCCGCTTTCTACTTGAGACTATGTTAATTGTATTATTAGAAAGATGTAATTTTTTTTAATGCCAACCAAGGGAGAAAGTAGACTAAATGTTCTTCCTAATTTCACAAATAATTCATTTCATATAGATTTTTTTTCTGATTGTTAAAATTTTGGTTTATTGTCATTGAGTATTTTTTCTAGATACTTAGAAATACATATGTACATACCTTAAAAAATATCTTCTCTCCTCTTTCTCTTTCTTTCTCTCTCCCCTACTCCCATATTCTTTGGAATGAGAAAATAACTTTGTATACTGTGCTTTAACTTAGATGTGAATGTTTTCTCTTCCATGTTATTAAAACTTAATCAGAAATGTGATTTTAATAAGTGAATTATATTCCGATGCATGGTTATAGTTTGGTATTTTAATTTTTAAATTTTTCAAAATTTAAGTTGTTTTTAGTTTTTGGAAATTACAAATACTTTCCTTATAATTAAATCATTATCTGCATCTTTATTATTGTATTTTTTTTGAGACAGAGTCTTGCTGTGTCTCCCAGGCTGGAGTGCAGCGGTATAATCTCAGCTCACTGCAACCTCCACTTCCTGAGTTCAAGTGATTCTCCCACCTGCGCCTCCTGAGTAGCAGGGATTACAGGCACCCGCCACCACGCCTGACTCATTTTTTTGTATTTTTAGTAGAGACGGGGTTTTGCCATGTTGGCCGGGCTGATCTTGAACTCCTCCTCACCTTAACTTATCCATTCGCCTCAGCCTCCCAAAGTACTGGGATTACAGGGCATGAGCCACTGCGCTCAGCCTACACCTTTAATTATTCTTAAGATAAGTTGCTAGGAGTAGAATTACTGGGTCCGTGAATATGATCATTTTAAGGCTTTTTCTATATTGCATTCTAGATGTACCAATTTACACATCTACCTATAATGTATTAGGTATTATAATGGTTAAGCTAAATTCAGTAGGGGATTAAAATACCTTATTTTAGTTTGCATATTTAAAATTATTTTTATGTGTTTATTTGCTTTTCCTTTAACAATTCAGCTTTTCAAGCCCTTCTATATTGTGTCTATTCAAAAATTGTCTTTTGCTCATTTATTTGAGAGATGGAGTTTTGCTCTTGTCGCCAAGTCTGGGGTGCAATGGCACGATGTCGGCCCACTGCAACCTCTGCCTCCCGGGTTCAAGCGATTCTCCTGCTTCAGCTTCCCAAGTAGCTGGGACTACAGGCATGCGCCACAACGCCCAGCTAATTTTTGTATTTTTAGTAGAGATGGGATTTCACCATCTTGACCAGGATGGTCTCAAACTCCTGACCTCGTGATCCACCCGCCTCGGCCTCCCAAAGTTCTGGGATTGCAGGCATGAGCCACCGTGGCCAGCATGAGAAATGATTTCATAATTTATGAATATTAACCTGGACACTATATTTTTTTCATAGTACTTGTGATAAATACAAGTGAATGAAATAATAGATGGGGAAATTTCTATTGTTAAAAGTGAATTTGGCTGGGCACAGTGGCTGATGCCTGTAATCCCAGAACCTTGGGAGGCCAAAGTGGGTGGATCACTTGAGGTCAGGAGTTCGAGACCAGCCTGGCCAAAATGGTGAAACCCCGTCTCTACTAAAAATACAAAAATTAACCAGTGTGGTGGCACTCGCTTGTAATCCCAGCTACTTCAGAGGCTGAGGCCGGGAGAATCACTTGAACCCAGGAGGCAGAGGTTGCAGTGAGCTGAGATCGCGCCACTGCACTCCAGCCTAGGCGACAGAGTGAGATCCTGTCTGAAAATAATAATTAATAAATAAAAGTGAATTTAAACATAATAAGTGTGTTTTCTTTTTTTCCTTAGAATGTGTTGATATCAATGTTACTCCAGATAAAAGGCAAATTTTGCTACAAGAGGAAAAGCTTTTGTTGGCAGTTTTAAAGACCTCTTTGATAGGAATGTTTGATAGTGATGTCAACAAGCTGAATGTCAGTCAGCAGCCACTGCTGGATATTGAAGGTAAGAAAAATACTGTGTACAAACAGCTTCTAAAGCTTTCAGCTAATGCGTTTCCTTATTTTTTCCAAGGTAAGCTTTTTTTTTTTGACATGAAACAAAGTCTCTTATACTATCATTTTTAATTTTTTTTTGAGACAGGGACTTGCTGTGTCACCCAGGCTGGACTGCAGTGGCGCCATCGTAGTTCACTGCAGCTTCAAACTCCTGGGCTGAAGCCATCTTCCTGCCTCAGCCTCCCAAGTAGCTGCCTCCAAGTACCTCTAGTTTTTTGTAAATTGTAAATGGATGATGTAATATAAGATATATGATTGGAAGAAGTCTACAGTGACTGCATTTTTAACTCCCTTGTCATGCCTGTTTTTTTGAGATGGAGTTTCGCTCTTGTTGCTCAGGCTGGAGTGCAATGACGTGATCTCAGCTCACTGCAACCTTGAAGCCTCCTGGGTTCAAGAGATTCTCCTACCTCAGCCTCCCGAGTAGCTGTGATTACAGGCGCCTGCCACCACACCTGGCTAATGTTTGTATTTTCATTAGAGATGGGGTTTCTCCATGTTGCCCAGGCTGGTCTCGAGCTCTTGAGCTCAAGCGATCCTCTAGCCTTGGCCTCTGAAAATGCTGGGATTTCCTGACTTCTAACAGAATTTAGGCCGGGCGCGGTGGCTCACGCCTGTAATCCCAGTACTTTGGGAAGCCGAGGCGCGCAGATCACGAGGTCAGGAAATCGAGACCATCCTGGCTAACATGATGAAACCCTGTCTCTACTAAAAATACAAAAAATTAGCCCGGCGTGGTGGCGGGCGCCTGCAGTCCCAGCTATTTGGGAGGCTGAGGCAGGAGAATGGCGTGAACTTGGGAGGCAGAGCTTGCAGTGAGCTGAGATCCTGCCAACGCACTCCAGCCTGGGCGACAGAGCGAGACTCTGTCTCAAAACAAACAAACTAACAAAAAAACTGTAACAGTATAGTTTAATCTGTTTTTAATTTGAGGTTATTCAGTCTGTCCTTCTCTGTGATTTGTTGCTTTCTCTCATTATTTCGTTTGTGAGATTCACCCAAGTCATGTGGCAAAATTCATTTATTCATTCGCTGTACTGTGTTCCATTATAGTCAGATACCGTAATTTGTGAATATTGGAATTGTTTCCAGTTTGGGGCTATAATGAAGAGTGCTGTCATGAACATCCTTATCCATGTCTTTTGACGAGCATGCATAGGTAGTTCTTTTTTTTTTGCGAGGGAGTCTCACTCTGTCGCCCAGGCTGGAGTGCAGTGGAGTGATCTTGGCTCACTGCAACCCCCGCCTTCCAGGTTCAAGTGATTCTCCTGCCTCATTCTCATCCTCCGTAGTAGCTGGGATTATAAGTTTGTTCCACTGTGCCCTGCTAATTTTTTTTTGTATTTTTAGTAGAGACGAGGTTTCATCATGTTGGCCAGGCTGGTCTTGAACTCCTGACCTCAAAGGGCGAGGATTACAAGCGTGAGCCACTGTGCCCAGCCAATAGGCACTTCTGATAGGAGTACTATGCTGGGTTGCAGGTGTGCATCCATTCAGATTTAGGAGGTATTCCCAGAGAGCTTTTCAAAGCAGCTGTACCAGGTTCATTCCTACCAGAGGTATTCAGTCATTCCACTCCATCCTGATCTTTGTGAGAATTTGTTGTTTTTAAATTTTGCCCATTCTGGTGAGTATATGGCCACATCGTATTGTGTTGGTTTTTTTTTGAGACAGAGTCTCGCTCTGTCACCCAGGCTGGAGAGCAGTGGCGACATCTTGCTCATTGCAACCTCTGCCTCCCGGGCTAAAGGGATTCTCGTGCCTCAGCTTCCCAGGTAGCTGGGATTACAGATGTGCCCCACCTCACCCGGCTAATTTTTGTATTTTTAGTAGAAACAGGGTTTCGCCATGTTGTCCAGACTGGTCTTGAACTCCTAGCCTCATGTGATCCACCTACCTTGGCCTCCCAAAGTGCTGGGATAACAGGCGTGAGCCACCACACCTGGCCCATATTATAGTTTTATTTTGAACATTGAACCGTGTTTGTCTGTGTAATTAGCATGCGGATCTCCTCTTTTGTGAAGTATCTGTTCACATAAGCACGTCCTCTCACCATTTCGGGATAGTCCCTGACCCTCTTCTCCGTTCACGTTTGCTTAGGTAACTTAGTAAAAATGCATGCAGCGGATTTGGAGAAGCCCCTGGTAGAAAAGCAGGATCATTCCCCTTCATTAAGGACTCGAGAAGAAAAAAGGGACGTGTCCATTTCCAGACTGCGAGAGGCCTTTTCTCTTCGTCACACAACGGAGAACAAGCCTCACAGCCCAAAGACTCCAGAAGCAAGAAGGAGCCCTCCAGGACAGAAAAGGGGTATGCCATCTTCTAGCACTTCAGATGCCGTCTCTGACAGAGGCTTCCTGAGACCTCAGAAAGAGGCAACGAGTTCCGGTCAGGGACCCAGGGACCCTACGGATGGAGCGGAGGTGGAGAAGGACTCGGGGCATGGCAGCACTTCCGTGGATTCTGAGGGGTTCAGCATCCCAGACACGGGCAGTCACTGCAGCAGCGAGTGTGCGGCCAGCTCCCCAGAGGACAGGGGCTCACAGGAACATGCGGACTCTCATGAGAAAGCGCCTGAAACTGACGACTCCTTTTCAGATATGGACTGCCATCCAAACCAGGAAGACACAGCGTGTAAATTTCGAGTTTCGCCTCAGCCAACTAATCTCGCATCCCCAAACACAAAGCGTTTTAAAAAAGAAGAAATTCTTTCCAATTCTGACATTCGTCAAAAGTTAGTAAATACTCAGAACGTGTCAGCCTCTCAGGTTGATGTAGCTGTTAAAATTAATAAGAAGGTTGTAGCCCTGGACTTTTCTATGAGTTCTTTAGCTAAACGAATAAAGCAGTTACATCGTGAAACACAGCAAAGTGAAGGGGAACAGAATTATAGGAAGTTTAGGGCAAAGATTTGCCCTGGAGAAAATCAAGCAGCTGAAGATGAACTGACGAAAAGAGTATAAGTCGTAACGTTTATTTTTTACTTTTTTACTTTTATTTAAATTTTTGTTTTTTTTTTTTTTTTTTTTGAGACAGAGTCTCCGCTCTGTCGCGCCAGCTGGAGTGCAGTGGCGCGATCTTGGCTCAATGCAGCCTCCCACCTCCCGGGTTCAGTGATTCTCCTGCCTCAGCCTCCTGAGTAGCTGGGATTACAAGTGCGTACCACCATGCCTGGCTAATTTTTGTATTTTTGGTGAAAACAGGTTTCACCATGTTGGCCAGGCTGGTCTCGAACTCCTGACTTCAGGTGATCCACCCCACTTCGGCCTCTGAAAGTTCTAGGATTACAGCGTGAGCCACCGCACCTGGCCAAGTAAAGTTTTTTTCTTAAGAGTATTTTGAAGCTGGGTGCGGTGGCTCACGCCTGTAATCCCTGCACTTTTGGGAAGCCAAGCCGAGGAGGGAGGATCACTTGAGCCCCGGAGTTCAAGACCAGCCTGGGCAACATCAGGAGACCGCGTCTCTACAATAAAATTGGCCGGGCACGGTAGTGCACAGTTGTAATTTCCAGCATCTGCACCTGGCCAGATACTGTTCTCTGTGGCAGGACATAGACTCCAAAGACATGGAAGACTTGGGTCTTTTAGGCCAGCACCAGCTTTTGAGCAGATTATCTGCGTACTGGGAACCAGGGCACATTCAGACAATTCCTGGAGAGCCTGGGATCGGCACCAGGGGAGGTGGTATTGTGCTGGTATCTGGATGCTTCTGGGATGTCCTTTCCCTCCTCCTCCTGCGGTGCAGGAGTTCCTGTGTCATCACTCACTCTGGCAGCTTCTCTTCATCCAGCAGGCTGCAGCCACTCCTGCTCCAAGGAGATCTGAAACTCAGCCTGAGTGGGGAGGGGCCTCTTACAAGAGTTCCTTTTCTGACGGGCACGGTGGCTCATAGCCGTAATCCCAGCACTTTGGGAGGCGGAGGCAGGCGATCACCTGAGTCGGGAGTTCGAGACCCAGCCTGACCAACATGGAGAAACCTTGTCTCTACTAAAAATGCAAAGTTACTGGATGGTGTGGGTGCACCCCTGTAATCCCAGCTACTTGGGAGGCTGAGCGGGAGAATCACTTGAACCCGGAGGCGAAGGTTTGTGGTGATCGAGATTGCACCACTGCACTCCAGCCGGGCAACAAGAGCGAACTCCATCTCAAAAAAAAAAAAAAAAAAAAAGAAAAGAAAAAAAAAAGAGTTCCTTTTCTGAGGACTCTCTTCTCCTAGAGTAGTAGCATTTTCCATTCCTGTAATTTATTAACATAGTAGTTAATCACTTTTATAAGTTTGTGTAATGCTTTATTATAAATTTTTCCTCCTCAGGCCTGGCATGGTGGTGCCATGTAATTCCAGCACTTTGGGGAGGCTGAGGCAGGGAGTTTGAGAACAGCCTGGGCAATATAATGAGACCCATCTCTGAAGAAACAAAAAAATTAGCCAAGTATACTGCTGCATGCCTGTAGTCCCAGGTACTCAGGAGGCTGAGGCGGGAGGCTCACTTGAGCTCAGGAGTTTGAGGTTGCAGTGAGCTATGATCATTCCATTGTGCTGCAGCCTGGGCGACAGAGCAAGACTCTGTCTTTAAAAAAAAAAACAACAGAATCCCTGTTAAAATCACTGGTGTGGTTTTTGTCTCTTGATTGTACTTTGACTGATATGGAATTGGTACCAGGAGACAGACCCTCGAAGATAAGATTTGGGGATTGGTTTGGTTATGACTTGGATTTGAGCTCTGAGTGGAGCCCCTCACAAATAGAAATGTGGCTCCAGTAATCCATGCCATTGTGAAGGTCTCACAGTTCCACCAGACTCTCCCTGTGGTTGATTGTGATGGTGGATGAGCATGGTGCCATGGGAACTGGGTCTTCCTGGAGCACTTATAGAAAGAAACAACAATATCAGCTCCTTTATTTTTTTTTTTTTTGAGACAGAGTGTTGCTCTGTCCACCCAGGCTGGAGTGCAGTGGCACGATCTCGGCTCACTGCAAGCTCCGCCTCCCGGGTTCCCGCCATTCTCCTGCCTCAGCCTCCAGAGTAGCTGGGACTACAGGTGCCCCCACCTCGCCGGCTAATTTTTTTATTTTTAGTAGAGACGGGGTTTCACTGTGTTAGCCAGGATGGTCTCGATCTTCTGACCTCGTGATCCGCCTGCCTCGGTCTCCAAAGTGCTGGGATTATAGGCTTGAGCCACCGCGCCCAGCCCTTTATTTTTTTTTGAGACAGAGTCTCATTCTTTCACCCAGGTTGGAGTGCACTGGCATGATCTCAGCTCACTGCAACCTCTGCCTCCTGGGTTCAAGCGATTCTTCTGCCTTAGTTTCCCAAGTAGCTGGAGTACAGGTGCCACCACCACGCCTGGCTAATTTTTTGTATTTTTTTTTTTTTTTTTTTTTTTGAGACGGAGTCTCGTTCTGCCACCCAGGCTGGAGTGCGGTGGCCGGATCTCAGCTCACTGCAAGCTCCGCCTCCGGGTTCACGCCATTCTCTGCCTCAGCCTCCCGAGTAGCTGGACTACGGCGCCCGCCACCTCGCCCGGCTAGTTTTTTGTATTTTTAGTAGAGACAGGGTTTCACCGTGTCAGCCAGGATGGTCTCCGATCTCCTGACCTCGTGATCCGCCCATCTCGGCCTCCCAAAGTGCTGGGATTATACAGGCTTGAGCCCCCCGCGCCCGGCCAATTTTTTGTATTTAGTAGAGATGGGGTTTTCACCATGTTGGCCAGGCTGGTCTGAACTGCCAACCTCAAATGATCTGCCCCACCTTGGCCTCCCCAAAGTGCTGGGATTACAGGCCGTCGGCCGGCCCTAATCTCAGCTCCCTTTCATCCTCAGCTCAGGCCACCTGGTGAGAAGCAGAAAACGTCCATGGTTTAACAGAGTCTGCTTTAAAATGTCTGCTTTAACAGAGTCATTTCTTACAGTTACAGCACTGATACTGCGGAAAATCCGTTTTCACCGGGTTTACTTGTGTGGGACTGAGAGTGACAGTGTCAGTTTCTCGTGTGAAGGTTAGGGGTGGTGTCTGTCTTTTGTCCGGATTGACTAATAGTATCTAATGACATTAGATGTTGAAGCCACCCAGCAAAGGGCCCAGGGGTCGGCCTGGCAGAGATTAGAAGGGTTGATATCCAGTATTGGCCAATAGATACTCTTAGACACCATTGGCGGGAGTGTGCATTTTCACAGATTTCCCATCAAAAAGTACATATGTGAGTCTCCCTCTAGCGTCTGTCTCCCGGAAATGCACCCACAGATGAGCAAGTTTATGCACAGAAGTCTTTGTTGCAGCTTTGAGTGCACGATTGAAATTGGAAACAACCGAAATGTGCTTTAGTTGGGAATTTGACAAATTATGGTACATCCGCACAGTGACTTCCTATGTGGCCATTAAAAAGAATGAAGTAGGCCTGGCATGGTAGCTCACGCCTGTAATCCCAGCATTTTGGGAGGCCGAGGCGGGTGGATCACTTGAGGTCAGAAGTTCAAGACCAGCCTGGCCAACATGGTGAAACCTCGTCTCTACTAAAAATAAAAAAATTAGCCAGGTTTGACGGTGCATGCCTGTAGTCCCAGCTACTCGAGGGCTGAGGCAGGAGAATCGCTCGAACCCAGGACCATAGGTTGCCTTGAGCCAGGGTCGTGCCACTGCAGTCCAGCCTGGACAACAGAGTGAGACTCTGTCTTAGAAAAATAATAATAAAAAAATAATGAAGTAGATCTATGTGTACAGATCTGCAAACATCTTTCAGATGCATTAAGTGATGACAGTGGAATGGAGAATTAAGGTTCCATTTTTGTTTTTTAAAATTAAAAAAAAATGTATAGGGAGACAAGGGTCTGGAAGGATATATTCCATTTAAATTGTTAATAGTAGCAACTGATGCCTTCTCCGGAGACTTGGATGAATGAATAGTTAATGTTATCTTTAGAACGTGGGATGGTTAAGCTAGGTGCGGTGACTCATGCCTGTAATTCCCAGCACTTTGGGAGGCCAAGGCGGGCAGATCATGAGGTCAGGAGTTCGAGACCAGCCTGACCAACATGAGGAAACTCTTGTCTCTACTAAAAATACAAAAATTAGCTGGGCATGGTGGCATTTGCCTGTAATCCCAGCTACTCAGGGGGCTAAGGCAGAAGAATCACTTGAACCTGGGAGGTGGAGGTTGCAGTGAGCTGAGATTGTGCCATTGCACTCCAGCCTGGGTGACAGAACGAGACTCTGTCTTAAAAAAAAAAAAAAAGAAAGTGGGATGACTGGGGACTTTATTATTTTGTGTTTTTGTATTGTTTGACTTTTTTTATTACAGTCATCTATAACATAATCAGAAAAATAATCTTGTACAGTGTCTCATAATTAACATTTTCTACCTGCAGTAAAACGATGTTTGCAGAAATGGAAATCGTTGGTCAGTTTAACCTGGGATTTATAATAACCAAACTGAACGAGGATCTCTTCATAGTGGACCAGCATGCCACGGATGAGAAATACAACTTTGAGATGCTGCAACAGCACACCGTGCTCCAGGGACAGAGGCTTATTGTGTAAGTTTTTTTTAGTGTTGATTCCCAAACTCCCCCTCAAATTTAAGATCTAACAGAGGCCGAGGCAAGAGGATCGTAAGAGACCAGCAGTTTGAGACCAGCCTGGGCAACATAGCAAGACCTCATATCTACTAAAAAAGGAAGAGATCTAGGAAGGAGGGGTGTAAAAAATAAAAAAGATTGAACTGGCGGGATGCAGTGCCTCACCCCTGTAATCCCAGCACTTTGGGAGGCCGAGGCAGGTGGATCACCTGAGGTCAGGAGTTCGAGAGCAGCCTGGCCAACATGGTGAAACACCATCTCTACTAAAAATACAAAAAGGCCGGGCACGGTGGCTCACACCTGTAATCCTAGCACTTTGGGAGGCTGAGGCAGATGGATCACTCCAGGTCCGGAGTTCAAGACCAGCTTGACCAACATGGTGAGACCATGTCTGTAGTAAAAATACAAAATTAGCCGGGCATGGTGGCGGGCACCTGTAATCCCAGCTACTTGGGAGGCTGAGGCAGGAGAATTGCTTGAACCCAGGAGATGGAGGTTGTGGTGAGCCGAGTTCGCACCATTGCACTCCAGCCTAGGCAGCAAGAGTGAAACTCCATCTCAAAAAAATAATAATAATGATAAAAAGTAAAAATACAAAAAATTAGCCAGGCATGGCAGTGCACGTCTGTAATTCCAGATACTCAGGAGGCTGAGGTAGGAGAATCGCTTGAACCTGGGAGATAGACGTTGCAGTGAGCCGAGATCCACCACTGCACTCCAGCCTGGGCGACACAGCGAGACTCCATCTCAAAAAAAAAAAAAAAAAAAGAGATCTACTAGTTTATATGTATGTCTATATGTATATAGGTATTTTTCCATAAGTATTCGTACAGCAGATTTTTATACTTTTTACCTAATAATAGTGATAGTTACCATTTATTGAATGCCTAGTATCTGCCAGGCACTGTTGAAATAATATGTGTGTATTAGTTCATTTAATCCTCAAAAACCAATGAGGTTGTTACTGTTACCATCACCATTCCACAAGTGATAAAACTGAGGCACACAGAGAGGTTGAGTAACCTGCCCAAGTTCACACAGTTAACATGTTCTCTAAGTATCAGACCTTTTTAGCTATTAAAAATGTTGATCACTGGTTAGCCAGAAGCTCCTTTTGATGAGGGCAATTTATAGTACCAAGTATTAGTATGGATAGTGTATGGAATGTGTGTGTTCAGAAAGACAGCCTGTGCGCCAGTCTTGATTTACAGTAGAGTAATCAGAAGTCAGATGGTCACTGCAGGTTGAGTGCAGGGGCACACGCCTATGATCCCAGAGCTTTGGGAGGCTGAGGCAGGCAGATCCCTTGAGCTTAGGAGTTTGAGACCAGCCTGGGCATCATGGTGAAACCTTGTCTCTACAACAAATATAAAAAATTAGCCAGACTTGATAGTCTGTGCCTGTGGTCCCAGCTATTCAGGAGGCTGAGGTGGGAGAATCATTTGAGCCCAGGAGATTGAGGCTGCCATGGTTGTGCCACTGCACAGCACTCCGGCCTGGGAGACAGAGTGAGACAGTGAGACTCTGCCTCACAAATAAATAAATAAAATATAAACATGCCACTGCACAGCACTCCGGCCTGGGAGACAGAGTCAGACAGTGAGACTCTGCCTCACAAATAAATAAAATAAAATATAAACATTATTTTAAGAAAGGCACTGCAGAATTTGGTATTTCTCTTTCCTCGGCCAAACTGGGATGTTTTACCCTGATCACTTTACAAAGGCCAGGTGTGATAGTGTATAGTATAAAACCAAAGTCTTAGGCCGGGCGCGGTGGCTCAAGTCTGTAATCCCAGCACTTTGGGAGGCCGAGGCGGGTGGATCACGAGGTCAGGAGATCGAGACCATCCTGGCTAACATGGTGAAACCCCGTCTCCTCTAAACAAAAAACAAAAAAAAAACTAGCCGGGCGAGGTGGCGGGTGCGCTGTAGTTCCAGTAACGCGGAGGCTGAGGGGTCAGTGAGAATGGCGTGAACCTGGGAGTCGGAAGCTTGCAGGTGAGCCGGAGAATCGCGCCACTGCACTTCCAGGCCTGGGTGACAAGCGCGAAGGACGCCGTCCCAAAAAAAAAAAAAAAAAAAAAAAACCAAAACTTGTCTTGGCAAGTTGTAGGAAGAGGTCATGGAATTTCGTGGCGAAATGTAAACCACACACAGAGAAGTAAACGGAATCCCAAACAAGTTAGATCCACATGGAAATATTTATCCTGGAACAGCTGGAAAAAACACTATTAGTTTACTGGTTACTCTCCTGTGAATGGCATGAATTGTTTTTTTTTTTTTTTTATTGAGACGGAGTTTCGCTCTGTCCGCGCCAGAGCTGGAGCAGTGCTGGATTCAGCCTCACTGCAACTCCGCCTCGCCGGGTTGCGACGGCCATTCTCCTGCCGCAGCTCCCAACGTACTGGGACCTAGCAGCACGCACGCCACCTGCCCGGCTAGTTTGTGTACTTTTAGTAGAGACGGGGTTCACGTCATATAACCGGATGGTCCCTCGATCTCCGTGACCTTTCTCGGATCCGCCCGTCTCGCCTCCCAAAGTGCTGGATTTACAGCTGGAAGACACCCGCGCACCGTTCCCGAATGTTTTTACTCTCATTAGGAGGTGCAAGTGTAAAATTAAAAGACATTTAGTAATGCTACCTTTATAATCCTGAGATATCCCTTTCCCTGTTCTCTTAATGGAGTGTTTTTCTTTCTTTTTTTGTTTCGTTGATCAGTGTTTTCGCTTTTCCTTTGCCTCAGGCTGGAGTGCATGTGGTTGGTGATCTTGGCTCACTGCACATCCTTCTGCCTTCTTGTTTTGTTTTCAACTCGGTTTCAATGTGATTCTGTGTGCTCAGTCCTTCGCTGAGTAGCGGACTTTATCAGGCGCCCTGTGCCACATATCTTTCCTTGCTAATTTTGTATTTTTTTTTTAGTAAGGAAGGTGCGGGTTTGCCTGTTGATCAGGACTGGTCTTTCTGAACTCCTGACCTCAGGTGA